TATCTGTGTGTACAGTATATAGTATCTGTCTAAATGTGTGTCTATCTGTCTGTCTATGTGTATCTATCACTGTTATCTGTGTATACATCAGTCTGTCTGTCTCTATTTTGTATATATGTCTGTTTCTGTCTGTATGTGTTGTCTCTCTCTATATATATGTATGTTTCTATATATGTGTATACATCAGTCTGTCTGTCTCTATTTTGTATATATGTCTGTTTCTGTCTGTATGTTTTTGTTCGTCTGTCTGTCTATCTGTTTATTTATCGATCTACATATCTGTATATATGTCACGTACAAAAATGCGTGTATGCACACACACACACACACACACACACACACACACACACACACACACACACACACACACACACACACACACACACACACACACACACACACACACACACACACACACACAAAATCACGCTGCGAGTATGTATATAAACTAAGGCGTCTTCGGTAAGTCCAAAAGGCCTTAAAAGTTAACGACTTTTCTCTGCCAGTTCTGCCCAAGCGTGACGTCATTGGTATGGCTCCACCAACCGTACTGCGTCTGTGCAGATAATTCCTATTAAGCCATTTATCGTGTTGATATTATCAGTAGAAAGAATTCATGCACTATTATACAATTATTATCCATAAATATTGGAGAGAAAGACCACGAACTTGCTATATAATTCTGAAAATAATAATTACAATAATACTTTTCACTCGGTAAATACTGTTTGAATGAATTTCGCTTGACTTCATATTCACACATATCTTCAAAGAATTTTACATTTAACGTAAATTATAGCAAATGAATGCGCAATATAGATTTTCTTATAAATAAGTTATTCCAAATATTAAGATGAATGAACAGAATTTATTCACAAAATATCTTTATCGACGGACATTTTCTCGAATGACTGGAAACGGACAAGGCTGACAAATGCTCTTGCCATGGAAGCAATTTGCTCTCTCCAACCTCTGGAAAGTTAACATTTAAAAGACAACACAGCTATATGGAAGCACAGAAACCGCGAATATTATATGAATCACAATCAGTACTGATACAAGGAACATATTCATGTTGATTTGAACGAATGAAATTGACTCAATTAATACAAATTAACGAAACTTGATTAGAGATGGGGCTCACCCTTTACGCTGATCCCTGTCTAACATTTAAATTAATCAAACAAGATATCGAGATAAATAACCATCGTTACGATCAATACACAAAGGTTAATTATCCACATAAGAAAAAATGCACAACTATTACTTGCTTACATTATAGTGAATCAGATACTATTCTTTAACAATGTAGTTTGTCCATTCGGATCTCCCGTTTTCTTTCATGGTCTGGATCCGCTTTAATTAAGAACTTATTAATCACTGGCAATATTACTAATGATCTAAATAGAAGTTGAAGTTATTGGCTGCTATGTAGCATGATGACAGTACACTACATTAATTACACACACAGACACACACACACACACACACACACACAGTACACTACATTAATTACACACACACACACACACACACACACACACACACACACACACACACACACAACAACACAACAGTACACTACATTAACACACACACACACACAGTACACTACATTAATTACACACACACACACACAGTACACTACATTAATTACACACACACACACAGTACACTACATTACACACACACACACACACACACACACAAAGACGCCCTAAGTTCCTAAATTCGCCGCACTCGTCCCTTACCTCCAACAAGTAGATGACCGCGCCCAGCCTCCCGCACTGCCGCGCCACATCCACAGGCGCCAGGGAAGTGTTGCTGATGTAGGAGGGGTCCAGACCGCCCATTTCCACCAGCCACTTCATCACCTCAATGTGGCCTTCCTCGGCCGCGAAGTGAAGGGCAGTGAAGCCATCGGCCGTGATCGCTCCCAGGTCGCAGTTCGTTCTCTGGAGGAACTGCAGCGTTTCCAGGTGGCCGCCTCGGCTCGCGTAGTGGATGGCTTGGAGACCTGGCGGTGGAGAAGGGTGGGTGCTGAGGGAAAATGGAGGGAGGGAGGGAGGGAAGGGAGGCGAGGAGGGAGGGAGGAGGGAGGGAGGAGCGGAGGGAGGGAGGGAGGCGAGGGATGGGCAGGGAGGGAGGAGGAAGAGGCTATTGTTATGTGAGGAAGAAGACTAACTAGGTAGAATAGATGAGGATCGTAGTGTCCGAGCGAGGGTGGTGTAGAAACCTATGTGGCTGTCAGTAAGTTCTTTATTAGTCTCATGTGTATATGCGATATTTAATACCATATGCGCCAATACATCCGCAAATTTTCTATGATAATCATCAAGCGTTCCTACGAGTGTACGTACTACATTCTATATAGGCCACCATCCCTAAACTGAAGCAATCCGCTTACCTTACGGCCGTCGCAGAGCCTGCGCACGTCGCCATCTACTGTGACACCGGACCGCCTTGAGATCCCACCAGGAAGCCCACGTAGAAGGTTCCT